TTAACAAAATAGAGTCTCAAAAAAAAATACAAAAGACCAATGAATCTAAGAGCTGGTTATTTGTAAAAATAAATGAGAAGGAAAAACCTTTAACTAGACTCATCAAGAAAAAAAGAGGACCCAAATATAAAATCAGCAATGAAAGAGGAGAAATAACAACTGACACCAAAGAAATGCAAAGGATTGTAAGAAAATATGAACAACTATATACCAACAAGCTGGACAACCTACACAAAATGGATAAATTCCTGGAAACATACTATTTTCCAAAACTAAATCAGGAAGAATCAGAGAATCTGCATAGACAGATTACACCCAGTGAAACTGAAGCAGTAATCAAAAAATTTCCCAACAAACAAAAGCCCTGGACCAGATGGCCTCACAGGTGAATTTTACCAAACATTTTGAGGTGAACTAACACCTCTCTTTATCAAACTATTTCATAAAATTCAAGAGGATGGAAGGCTCCCAAATTCATTTTTCAAAGCCAGCATTGTCCTAATTCTAAAACCAGATAAAGACACTACAAAGAAAGGAAATTGTAGGTCAATATCCCTGATGAACATAGACTAAAATCCTTATCAAAATATTAGGAAACTGAATACAGCAATGCATCAAAAAGACCATCTATCATGATCAAGTGGGATTTATTCCAGGAATGTAAGGTTGGTACAACATTTGTAAATCAATAAATGTGATTCACCACATAAACAAAAGGAAAGATAAAAACCACAGGATCATATCAATAGATGCAGAAAAAGCATTTGATAAAATTCAGTGCCCATTTATGATAAAAAAAAACTCTCAACAAAGTGGAATTAGAAGGAACATATGTAAACATAAGAAAGGCCATATATGCCAAACATGCTGTCAGTATCACACTCAATGGGCAAAACTACAAGCTTTCCCCTTAAGATTAGGAATGAGACAGGGATATCAGCCTTCACCTTTTATTCAACATAGTACTGGAAGCCTTAGGCACAGCAATCAGACAGGAAGAAGAAATAAAAGGCACCCAAACTGGGAAGGAAGAAGTAAAACTGACATGATACTGTACCTAGGGAACCCCAAAGATTCCACCAAGAAACTACTAAGACTGTTAAATGTATTCAGCAATGTAACAGGGTACATTTAATATTCAGAAATCGGTTGCATTTTTATATGTCAATAATGAACTAACAGAAAGGGAAATTAAGAAAACAATCCCATTCACAATTGCTACAAAAAGAATAAAATACCTAGGAATAAACCTAATCAAGGATGTAAAAGACCCATGCATGGAAAATTATAAAACAATGAAGAAAGAAATTGAAGAAGATACAAGTAAGTGGAAGTACATACCATGTTTATGGATAGGAATAATTAACATGATTAAAATGCACATGCTACCCAAAGCTATCTGTAGATTCAGTGTAATTCCAATGAAGATTCCAATTATGTATTTCATATAACAACAGCAATCCTGAGAAAGAAGAACAAAGTTTGGAGGAATCACACTTCCTAATATTAAGCTACACCTTAAGCCATAGTAATCGAAACAGCATGGCACTGGCATAAAAACAGACCCATAGATTGATGGAACAGAATAGAAAGTCCAGAAATAAACCCACACCTTTATAGTCAATTACTATTCAACAGAGGAAGCAAGCACATACAATAGGGTAAAGAGAGTTCATTAAATAAATGGTTAGGAAAATTGGACAGAGATGTGCAGAAAAATGAAACTAGATCACCTTACACCACACAGAAGAATAAATTCAAAATGTATCAAAGACTTAAATGTTAGACTTGAAACAATAAAAATTGTGGAAGAAAACAGGTAGCAAAATCTCAGACATTGCTCATAGCAATATTATATCAAATATATCTCCCCGGGTAAGGGAAACAAAAGAAAAAATAAATAAATGGGACTATTTCAAAGTGAAAAGTTTTTGCACAGCAAAGGAAAAGCATCAACAAAATATAAAGACAACCCACAGAATGGGAGGACATATTCACTGATACATCTAATAAGGGGTTAATATCCAAAATTTATAAAAAACTTATAGAACTCAACACACACACAAAAACAAGCAGCTCAATTAAAAAAATGGGCAAAGGACCTGAATAGACACTTCTCCAAAGAAGACATACAGATGGCAAATAGACATATGAAAAGATGCTCAACATCACTAATCATCAGAGAAATGCAAATTAAAACCACAGTGAGATATCATCTCACATCTGTCAGAATCACTCTCATCAATAAATCAACAAACAAGTGCTGGCAAAGATGTGGAGAAAAGGGAACTCTTTTGCACTGTTGGTGGGAATGCAGACTGGTGCAGCTACTGTGAAAGAAGTACGGAGATACCTCATAAAATTAATAATGGATCTGCCTTTTGACTTAGTGATCCCACTTCTGGAAATATATTTAAAGGAACCCAAAACACTAATTTGAAAGAACATAAGCACTCTTCTGTTTATTGCAGCATTATTTACAATTGCCAAGATATAGAAGCAGCCCAAGTGTCTATCAGGAGATGAGTGGTAAAACAACTATGGACATTTATATAATGGAATACTACTTGGCCATAAAAAAGAAGAAAATTTTACCCTTTGTGACAGTATGGATAGACCTGGAGAGCATTATGTTAAGTTAAATAAGCCAGTCAGAGAAAGACAAATACCATATGATTTCACTCATATGTGGACACTAATGAACAAACTGAACTAACAAGGAATATGGGGACAGACTCATAGATGGAGAGCAGGATGACAGCTGGGGAGGAGGGAGACTAAAGGATGGAGTGATTGAGAAGAAAATAAAAGGACTCATGGACATGGCCAACTGTGCGGTGATTGTGGAGGGGTGGGTATAATGGGACTAAATGGTAATGGGAAACATACAATAAAGATTAAATTAAAATAAGAACACTTACAACTCAAAATGAAAAAAAGAAACAACTCAATTAAAAAATGGGCAGAGGAACTGAATAGAGATTTCTTTAAACAAGACATACAGATGGTTAACAGACCCATAAAAAATGCTCAACATCACCAATCATGTAAGAAATGCAAATCAAAATCACAATTAATTATCATTTCACACCAGCCAGTGTGGCTATTATGAAAAGAACAACAAACAACAAGTGCTGGCTGGATATTGAGAAAGGGGAATCCTTGTGCACTGTTGGTGACATTGTACATTTGTGCAACCACTATGGAAAAGTACAGAGATTCCTCAACAAGTTAAAAATAGTACTACTGTACAACCCAGCAATTCTACTTTGACAATATGTGCAGTCAGGGTGCTATTCAAATCGGTGAAGTAGAGGACCAATTAAGACAATCATTGGTGAGGCACAGGATTGTCAGATTTTAAAATGGCACTCTTCTGATGAAAGCCTTGAGTAAAAAGATAGGTTGAGTATGAAATCCCATGAAATCCCATGAAATAATGAATGAGATAAGCATTTAAACTTTGTATTTTAAATGAAAGTTTAACCAATACAGCTCTCATTCTGAAAGGAATTAGCAATATCAGGTTCAAAGAAACAAATTTTTTTCTGCACTTATTACTTGTCTAGTACTTGAGAGAAGTTATGCCATGAACCTGTATTTTCTATATTTTCTATCTTTTGGCCAGCTATACCCTAAACCAGTTACAGGGATCTTTCTGTTTTATAGGCTGAAGTTATGCTCTTGAAAATTCTGTCAGTTGGTACTGTGTAAAATGAGTGCCCTGGTGGAAAAAAGAGAGGCTCAGCTTTTCCACAGATCTTGCTCACAATGGGAGGCAGGGGCTGTGATCTCTATCCTGCTGCCAGCCCAGCAGTATAAATCACCTCTTTCACTTCAGCCAGCTTCACCTATGGTTAATGAAATCCAGGTTTTTAAACAACATATGGTTGGGCTCCTCATTACTCTTTCAAAATGTGATCTAAGCTGTCAGTTTCTAATCTAAGAAAAGATAAGAAAAATGAGGAGAAAATGACAATGAAGCATTTCATTTCTTTTGGTAAGAAGATAAATAACAACAAATAAAAGCACTATATTTGGGGGTTGATTTTAAAGTCTTTGCCAACTTGTTCATACCTACGTCTCTGTGGCCCATTGGATTTTAGTGTTTTTTGCCCAGACTTCAAGTTATTCACCAGGAGAGTGTACTGTTTTTTTCTTTTTAACATTTTACATTCATGAAAGTACGTACATATTATAAGACAGAATTTTGTTCATAACCTCATACTTGAGTGCATTTTTGAACCCACGCTTTGAAAAAATATACTATCTCTTCAAAAGAGGAATAGGTAAGAGCAACAACTATCATTATACTAAATTTATACACTTAGTGCCATGCTCTGTTTTAATACCAAGTAGTTCAAGAAAATGCTGAATGAAAATCTAACACCTCTGGACATAGTTGGATAAATAGACATATAAGACAAAACATTTTGTACTATTGGCAAGCAGTAGAAATCAATAATAAAAACGATATTTTTTTCAGGTTAAAACAGCACTTTTTGAAGACATATCTAAACACTTAGATAGATGAAGAGGACTGCTATAGTTCAATTCCAAGTATGGGCAGATTTCAAATCTCCAAAAAGAGATTAAAAGATTACTTTATTGCCAAAGGTCCTAATGTGTACATTTGTGTACATGACACAATCACAAATCATGAAGCTATCTGTAAATTCTAAAGACTTTAAAGAATTCTAAATAATTTTTCTGATATAATTCTGAAATGTTAATTTATAGTTTTACTGGGTGTTTCATTTTGTACTTTCTCTGTACTTGTTTCCCCAGTGTTCTAGAATTGTACTCATCTTTCAGACTTTTTGCTGCTATGCTAGAGGAATATGGGTTTTTTTTGGTAGCTGTATACTTAGAAATTTAAATGTAAACCTAGAAGATGTGCACAGCTTTGGTAGTGAAGGCTTCTCCCCCTGAGTGTGGTCCTTTGCAGCCCTTCCTGCAGGAGACTGTTGCCATTGGCCAGCCCCTGCTCCACTGTAACAATGTGCAACTGAAAGGCGGTAATCAAAAATGCCAGTACATTGAAGAAATGCAACAGGACTCTGTGGAATGTGCTACTCAGGCATTGGAGATATATGATACGGAGAAGGATATTATGGCCCATATTAAGAAAAAGTTTGACAAGAAGTACAACCCCAATGGACACTGCATAATTGGAAGGAACTTCAGTAGTTATGTGACACATGAAAGCAAACACTTTATCTACTTGTACCTGGGCCATGCGGCCATCCTTCTGTTCAAATCTGGTTAAAAGCATGGACTGTATACCACACACCCAGTGAGCCCTCCAAAAATATTGTAGCCTAAATTCCAAATACCAGGGACTGAAGTTTTAGTCTTGCCTAAAGAAACACCTTGATCTTGAACATTTATTATGTTATTTGGTACAGGGCATTCTCTGTGCTCATTTGTTGCAGTTATAGAACAATTAGAAAAACAGCTTACACTTGTGTTTATTTTCTATTCCATACCTCTCGGCTCCATGTTTTTCTTCCTCAAAGTCCATTCTTTTCCCTCAAAAATAAATTTGTTGGAGAACTTAAAAAATCAATAAATGTAAACCCAGGAAAAATTTCTTCTCTGTGACAGTGAGATGATGGAAACATTTTGGATACTAAACAATGGACAAAGGTATTTTTTTTCTAGGCAGAAAACCCTTAAATGTGTAACTGAGCTAATATTTTCTATTCTCCCCTCAAGACCCAGTTTTTTGTCTTTCTCCACCCTGTTCTCCACTCTAGAAGGCTGACCTGTAGGACTCCTGTTCCCTTTGTCTTCAGATGGGTTTGGCTAGTGGTGAGCTCTGGTAAAAGATCAAAGGGAGGAAGGAGAGTGTTGACTGGTATTCATTTCCATGGGTTCCTTCCTGTGAGTTTGACTCAATGCCTCTCAACAGAAGTCTGGTCCTTTCAAGGGTTTCTTCTCTATTTGATCTTCTCCCTCCAGATTCCAGTAACCTGGAATCCCTGATTCATCCACTGCCTCCCTGATTCATTCTGGCATAGGCATGATTAGTAAGGCTACCAGCCCTGGGGGACTCTCCCGTGTACAGCAGCTGCCCAATAGCATTGACTTTATACTTAATCCTTTTGTAAATTCTACTCAAATTAGCCTATTTCAAGTGTTCCACCTGTTTCCTGTTAGGACTGTGACTGGTAAAAATTCTATTAATCCATTAGAAAGCAGAGTTATTAAGGATCTGTATATTAAGCACATAATGTTGATAGATTTATATTGGATCAGTGTTTAATGCTTAACCTCACAAAAAAGAAAAAAAGAATATTAAGTTAAAATTGTTAAGATTTCAAAGACCAGCCCTGGCTGGGGTAGCTCAGTGGATTGAGTGCGGGCTGCAAACCAAAGTGTCGCAGGTTCGATTCCCAGTCAGGGTATATGCCTGGGTTGCAGGCCATAACCCCCAGCAACCGCACATTGATGTCTCTCTCTCTCTCTCTTTCTCCCTCTCTTCCCTCTCTAAAAATAAATGAATAAAATCTTAAAAAAAGATTTCAAAGACCATGCAACTATCTTTCATGAATTCATTCTTATGAAAAATAAACTTGCATATGGAGCCAACAGCTTGGTACTTGAGTACAGGCTTTCATTTTATTTCTTCTTGGAGGTATGTCTCCTTTCAAATCTGTCTTGATTCCTGTGAAGAGATAGCTTCAAAACAAAAAAGCTAATCTATTTATTTCATGAAATATAATTATGATTTAAATGGAAACATGATGACTATGCAGCATATTTTAGGAAGACTTTTTTGACAGTGAGGCCTGCTTAACCATGAAAACATTAAACTAGAGACTGTAGAATTTTATTTCTGAAGGAATAATAGTGAAAACAATGTGTTTTTTTACTCCTGAAGTTGACTTGAGTAGGCTCAAAGATAGAAAAGGATAAGGAGGCCTCCTCCCAGACTATCTTCTTCCTAGATATACAGGAATCACATCAAATAAATACACCAATTTTACTTCAAGGAGTACTTATGAAGTATCTAGCATGTGCTGGAGACTGTAGCAGGTGACAGAGACAGTGGTGGTCCAGGACATCCTGCAGCTTACAGGCTAGCAGAAAAGACAAATACGGCATTTCAAGTATGATGAGTATTATGAAAGAAGCATTAGAAAAGTCTAGGGTTCTTATCAGAAGGGAAGCCAATCATATTTTCCATTACTACCTAATTATCTAAGTTAGAAACCTGAGGGCTATTCTTGAATTTTGACCCCTAACAATCAGTCACCAAATTGTACCTATTTTGTATATTATACCTGTTCCCATTTTTTATATTATTTTTCTCTTGGTGTCTTGCACTTAATCCTGTTTCCTGTTCTGCCCTTCAAATCCATCTTTCACATTGTCATCAAAGTGTTCTATCTGTTAAAGAAAACTGACCATTTTATATCATGCCCAAAATGCTTCAGTGATTTTCTGACCTGTAAAAGATAAGACTCTGCTTTTTGGTATGGTTTACGAGTGTCTCCATGACCTAGACTCTACCTGAACCTTCTGTTACATCCCTCCCCTTGAAGAGAAGGCACTAAATACTGAAACCATTCAGAGGGGTTTTATTTACCAGAAACCAACATATAAAGATATTTTTATTATTCTGCAGAGTTGGAGGGAATGGTTCTGTGCTATTTAAACCCCCCCCATAATTTTATTCACTCATTCAATATTGATTTAATGCATGCATATGTTGAGCTCCAATGAAATTTATAAGAAATATTCCCTGATGTGAAAGGAGTTTACAATTTCTCTGACAAGATACAGAACAGGTAGGCATTAATACAAGACAGTTTTTTTGGGGGGGGCGGTCAAAATCATGTGTCTTTATGAGAAACAAAAATATTCAACAATAAAAACAAAAACCCTTCAAACCTTGCCAAGTTCTCAACCAGTGATAATGAGGAAGTTTCTTTTTCTCTCTTTTTTTTTCTCAGTCCTTTCACCCGCTAAACTACTGCCCCCCAAACCTAGCTGTCATCCTGCTCTGTATCTGTGGAAACAGTTTCAATGACTGCATCTGGCTGGGGATATTTCTAAAGGGCCAGGACAGTTGAAAGACATTGGCCATAAAGAGAAGTAACAGAGAGGGTTGGTATTTTAAATAAGAGCATATTAGACCCTTATCCTTTCTGGGCCCTTATCCTTTCACCCTTTTAAATTAAATTCTTCCAGTTTAAAAAGATACTTCCTGAACTTTGTTCAAGTGTAATCTCTTCTAGAAAGCTCTCCTTTGCACAAACTGCATATGCCTTTTAGGAAAGTCCCATTTTTTCATGCCATCTCCCATCACTTTCTGCCTTACCTTCATCATGTTTGAGAACATGCTTTCCCATACCCATTTCAGCAGACATGTCCACCAGACCAGGGCCCATGTTGATCATCCCAGTGTTCTCATTGCTTCCTCCATTCATTGCTCAGTTTATAGCATATCTCAGTGTCAGTAGGTGCTCAGTGAGCATTTGTTGAATGAAAGTCAGTTCTACATTTGCATATCATATCACCAGCCTCTGGAGAGTCATAATTGTCATTTCAACTTATTCATCCTTCCTCCAAGACCTCAAAATTGCCTGACTCAGACCTGGCTGGTGTAGCTCAGTGGTTTGAGCGTGGACTGGGAACCAAAGTGTCCCAGGTTCGATTCCCAGCCAGGGTACATGCCTGGGTTGCAGGCCGTAACCCCCAGCAACCGCACATTGATGTTTCTCTCTCTCTCTCTGTCTATCTCCCTCCCTTCACCTCCAAAAATAAACAAATAAAATCTTTAAAAAAATTGCCTGACTCAAGGCATCTCCAGGAAGGAACAGACCTCACCAAACATCACCAACTCAGGGTAGAAGGTCTAAAAAGGGGAGGAGAGAAAGTTAAGCATTCAACCCTATTCTGGAAGGCAAGGAGGCAAGAAAAGCAGCCCCTGGGGAAATCCAGGATGATTGTGAGTGGTGTTGGCCAATGCTTCATTTTGGAATTTCATAAGCAGCAATTCTTTAGAAAGTTTTCCCTATGAAACTTGGCCAACTTTGCAGTGGGAGTTGGGGACTTGTTGGGTTACTCTGCCAGCTCAGGAACCAGCAGGCATAGACCAGGAACCTCTCTTTGGAACATGGCCTATATTACCTTGAGAGGGGTGTTAGAGGTTGTCTGTCTAGTTATTCAGTTAGAACTATGAGGGGAACATTAACCTTGTGGAGTGTTGAGTTGTCAGGCACATAGATTGTAGTAAGGCTGAACTACAGGCTGTAATAATGGGCTTCTTCATAGGGAGAAGTGTCAGAAGGTTCTAGGAGCAGTGAGGAGGCTCCAAAGAGGTCTGGCAGCTCCAATTCCAATGGTGCTCTACTGTGTCTCCCATTCCTGCTCATGGCTTCCACCCCTTCCATCTGGTTTCTCCATGTTGGGACCAGGCAAAGGGGCCAGTTGGAGATGGTGGAAGAAAAGGAAGTGCCTTTTCTTTTTCTATCACGAGTCATAAATTTGGACCAGGGAGAGGTTAGGATCAAGGACAGAAGGGGGAGGATTGAAGAGCTGAGGAGAAGCCAAGGCTCTGTCCACAAGCATTAAGTATGAAGCCCATGCTTCTAATTATATCACCTCCAGAAGGCACTGAGCTCTTAATTGTAAGTGATGAGAAAATTCTGCAAGTGCTCTCAAAGGTAGTCAGTGACTTTGGAAGATTGCTGTGGATCCTCCCATGGGGGGGCTCCTCTGGGGCCAATAAGATGTGAAAACCACATGGTCAATATCTACCCTGGAGACTGGGGAAAGGAGTCAAGAGGCAGAGAGCAGGGACTTCTTAAGGCACCTCATTTAGGAAGGAGGGTTGGAACTTGTGGGAGTCAAGTTAGGATAGAATTTTCAGCATAAAAAGAAGACTCCCAGTAAAACTATGGACACCCCCTCAAATGCCTTTTCAAACCCCATTGCATTTAGAAAGGAGGAAGTAAGGTACATAGAAATTGATGCACCTTGATGATGTGGGCTTGTCCGATAGTACAGAAAAGCAAGTCTCATGGCAGTCAGTGTGGCCCATTTCACATGAGGATTATAGTGAACTTCATTTTAGAGATTTTATATATATTTATATAAATGCATATATATATATTTATAGTGCCTTTATCTAGAACAGCCAGGCTTGCTTTTTCAGTTCATTCCTCTTCCAGAGGGCCAGCCAGTCCAAATAAGAGATGGTCATGCTGAAGACTCAAGTCCACAAGGCAGGTTTTAATAAGGGCCAGAATGTGCAAC